GTGTATAAGGACAGAGTTTTACTTCTTCATTCTCAGATTCTAAATTAGCCTCATTAATGAACCTCAGTTGAAAACTGTGGAGTCTTTTTGTTTAGTTCCTCATGATGAAATAGAGGGAATGATCTAAAAGTAAATTGCAATTACTTTTGCAGTTGTGCACACTGCGGTGTGAAGTACTTGGTACATGTGCACAAGGATGTAGACCTGGGCTCATGAAACTCAGTTCTGTGGAGGAAAGACCCATTAATCCACTACCACAGAAAGAAGAAGCAGGTATTAGAGAGGCTGGAGTAAGAGACAAAGTTTGTAGGGTAGGCAAACATTTTTCTGTAAAAGGGCAGATAATAAAGACAATTCAGACCAGATGGTCTCCGTGGCTGAGAGCAGCCATAGTGATAGGCATGGTGGCACATGCCTGTAATCCCAGAGATTTGGGAGGCACAGACAGGAGAATCAAAAATCCAAGGCCAGCTGAAGCAACTTAATGAGAGCCTGTATCAAAAATTAAAAAGGGCTGGGATGTGGCTCGTGGTATAGCAGCCCTGGGTTCAATCCCCAGTACCACAAACAACAACAAAATCAGCCACAGAGAGTATACAACCAAATGCTGTGAGTGTGTTTTAGACACTGAACTCTGAATTGCATCAATATTATTTTGGTTTTGATTTATTTTCAAGCATTTAGAAGTATAAAATTCCTTCTTGGTTTGAGGACCCTACAAATACACATGGTGGGTTAGAATCAAGCTGTAGAATACTTAAGACCCCAAATAATTTTTTTTCATGAATCACTAAAATAATTTGATAGTATTTCAGTGGATTTTCACAGTGTTATTCAGCTTAGCTTCAAGCTCCTTACCTGGCCTTTTACGTCCTTTGTTTACTTCACATGATAACTATCGTTTCAAGAGATGCAAAGGTATTTCCCCACATATTGTGCCGTATTTGAAGGCTAGAGGCATGCAGGAGGAATAATAGTGAGATGAGGCCAGCCTCCTGCTTAATATTAAGTAGTAGAGCATGCAGTCAGATATAAATTAGGCCTCTACTTTATTCTACCCAGATCTGGAAAACCTATTCTTTGGTCTGCTCGTCCCTCCCAAACTCATGTTGAAATTCAACTGCTGATGCCATGGTACTGAGAAATGAGGCTTTGAGAAGTGATTAGGTCATGAGGGTTCCACCCTCATGGGTGGTTTTAGTGCCTCTGTTAAGGAGCTTGTGCACGTGGGTTCTTTGTTCTTCCTCTCTTCTGCCATGGGAGAAACCATATCCTGCCCCTATGAAGACTACACATTCCAGGCAGAACTGGCATTCACCAGACACCAAACCCACCATCACCTCCATCTTGGACTTCCTGCCCCCAGAACTGTGAGCAATCAATTCCTGCTCTTTATAAATTACCCAGTATCAGGTATTCTATTGTAACAGCATGAAGCAGACTAGAACAATAGAGCTTGTCAATTGCTTGCTCATGTTTAGGTAATAGAGATGGTCAAACAAGAAAATTCTGGTTAAAGACATTTTCTAGTTTAAAGTCTTGGACTTGATAAAGGAACTGTTTGTAGAGTTTTGAAAATATGCATAGAGTTTGTTTTGTTTGTTTGAGTTTTCATAGACTTTGTTAAATAAACGTTTCTTCACTTGATGTATGCCCTTTGGACAATTTCCAGATACATTAAATTTAAAAATATGTATATATTTGCACCAGTTTATCTGAAGAGTCCATCCACAGAGCTCCTCACTGTCATGGCAGAAGTGGGACCCCTCTCTCTACAGATAAGGAGGATCTAACTCACTCTATAGCTGCCTCAGGATAAATGAAGCCAGATATAATGATTATACTTTATGAACCTTCTTTTCTGACAGACATTGCTTTTTATATAAGTTCAAAAAACACTAAAAAAAGAATTAAAGGTGTGGGGAACACCCTTGTGAGTGGTGTAGGTGGGTAGCTTGGCCATTTTTAGGACACAGAGGCTGTGCTTTCAGTACTTATCCAATAATTTTAGAAAAAATAAAGAATTATTTCTTTCCCAATAACAATTCCCACATTTTCCAGAAGCCACTGGATTTCTATAATTATGACTCTCAAATGATCAAAATACCATGCTCACTAATAAAGATTAAATGAGTTAAAAACTCGGAAATACAATCTGATATTCCAGGAGTATTTGCGGAAACCAGCTATGTGTAGAGAACTATCATTAAACATTCTGTAGTCATAAAAAGAAGTCAGTGACACGTGGAATTTGCAAGATAATGGGAGAGAAAATTAATAGTCCTGAAACAGCCAGAAAAGTCATTTTTAAACAATACCAAGTTCAAGAAATATGCCACTCTATTAATGGAGTAGTGGATATGAAAACTATGTTCTAATATAGATCTTGGAAGAGGTGACATGGACTAAGGTTCACATGTTTAAAAAGTTACAACTAACACTTATATGTCAGCCAAATAATCTAATTCTAATTTGCAGCACAGAACATTCATTGCTTTATTTCAGGACAAATGGTAACTTAGATACAATTTAGAATTTTTAAAATGATTATTTCATTAAGTTGTTTGCGTGTGTTCAAGTAAACACATTATGTATACATACATTCATATATTCTTTTTATCATGAATATTTACCACCAGTACCATTGTACATTCTGCTTAATGACATTTGCCAAATATTTAATTATTGGATGTTACATAGAATGTGTACACATTTTTAATTGTAAAAGCTTAAAATCTTGTCATCCGTTCAACAGCCACATTTACAGTAAGTCCCCTCCACAAACTTTTTAATTCAGAAGGTATGGATCCATCTTAATTCAATTCATATGCATGGAGTTTTGTTAGTTGTGTGACCCTTTGTTGAAGGGCATGGGAGGTGGTAAAATGGTAAAACAAATGGACCAGAATGAGCAGAAAAACAGTCCAATGGAGAGCTAACCTTTGCTGCTAGACACAACCTCACAGACTGGGGGAGTCAACTGGTCCTACAATCCACCAGAGTCATCTTGCCAAGAGCTCCTGAGTAATCCACCAATGCTAAACTGACAAGCCAAGGCCTTACCTACACTCAGCAAACCAATCCCTTGGGAAATTTTGACTTTTTTTTTTTTTTTTAATGAGGAGTGCCCCTACGCTTGCCTTTACTGCTCACATAGACAAGTAAATCCTCACCAAGTGCTGTCAATCTGCAATTTTAGATCCTACTTTTGGCTAGCAAAGCCAGAATCTGCATGTTCAAACAAGGTCCTCGGTTGCTTCTCACGCACATTAAAGTATGAGAAGCACAGTAGGTCCTTAGTAGACCATGGTTCTCAAGCTTGAACCTCTGTCGTCATCACCAATAAAAATGCCCTGCCCTGTGCCTCAGCCCCAGAATTGCTAACACGGTAGGAAAGGTGTGTGGCCTTGAGAGTGCATGCTTCAAGACCCAGGTGCTGCTTAGACTGAAAGCACACTCCAAAATGACTATTTAAAATCATGTTATTGGACTGGAGATGTAGCTCAGTGGTAGAAAGCTTGCCTACCATGCACAAGGCCCTGGATTTGATCCAGCAGAACAACTTTGTAATGTTTTGAACAACCAATAAAAAAAAAATTTAAAAAAAAGAAAAAAAAACATTTTGATAGTTAAAATGAAGATTTCATCCCACAGAGCTCAATCTATGTTAGATCCAGCTTTCCCAGCCTTTTCTGGAAATCAATGCAACTTATCACTGATCATTTTTAATTTTCCTTAATTGGAGGAATTATCGATTCACCTGTCTTCCTGATTTTCCTAGGCTGACAGGATCATCTCAGGAGGAGAGAAGCATTACTCCCCTTCTAAAAAATAGCATTACGCTACTCTTTAAAATATTAACTCGCTAAAAACTATATGCTAGACAAGGTTTTTAATACATCTCAATTTAATTGAGTTGCCCAAGACAAGAAAGAACTCTATAAAACTTAGTGCTGTATGCATCTGATCTTTGATTTCTTTTGGAATTGCATATCCATTCAAAATAGAACCACACCAGCATTGTTGGAAATGTCTGAATAAAAAATCAGATTATAAAGCAATTTTGAGCAATTGACATAGATGAAAAAGTAGAAGGGGCAGGAAATGATTAGGGGGATATTGCGATTAGCAATATATATATATATAATGATAATATTTCTTTAACTGTGTCTCTCAGGGGGACAGAAGTAGTCTTCATTTCTATGCCATTCCTGTAACTTGGATCTCCAAAATAACATTGCTTAAACCCAGAATATAGCGTTTCTGGAGAAAAATCCCCCCTCAGCTTTTGTTTCTTGCACCTCTAGTTTCTGGGGCTCAAATTCAGTCCTGGGTCCAGGGGACAGGTGAAAGCCACCTTTCCACTGCCCCCTAAGCAATAGTTATAGTTTAAAAGCGGGAAAGTGGGCAGCCTGGCTCCATGATGATCTATATCCAGCTTAAGTGCTTGTGCTCAGGTGTGAGGCCTCGCTGACACCTATGGGATTCACCCCCAGGTGTGTCCACCTGGTGTGTCATTGGTGAGTCCCCGTGTCTGATGTGGTGTGCCCCAGGAGTCACAGCGCAGCGTGAGTGCCCAGGGGCGTTAGAGGGCTTGTGTCTGAAGTGGGGCTTCCAGGAGCGCGGAGGTGGCTGAGTCTGCGTCTGCGGTGGCGTTCCCAGGTGTGGGAGCGGGTTGCGGCCTGGAGAGGTTGCAATGCGCGGCCAGGTGTGACGTGGCGTGCGGCCCGCAAGGTCAGGCCCAGGGCGCGGCCGGAACCAGGGCGCCGCAGGGTCGGGCGGAGCGGCGTGCAGCCTGCAGGGGGCGCCGCCCGGAGCGACTTGCGGGCGGCGCCCGAGCAGGGCATTTCCGCTCCGCGGCGGGCGCGCGGTCCCAGGGCGCCGCGGGGGGCCGCAGGTGAGGCGCGGGCGCAGGCGCGGGCGCGGGCACGGGGCGCCGTTGGGCCAGGGCCGCCGCGGGATCGCGCAGGAGCCGGAAACCGCCGCAGGCCCAGGTGGGCGCCGCGTCCCCGTGAACGGCCACCCGCCCCCAAGGCCGCTTTGGCAGGATCGAAGCGGGGACGATTTCAGAAATCCAGCTTTTGATTTTAGAGATGCTGTTTTGAAGGACACCAAAGCCTGCAGAAGAAAAATAAAAACTTCTGGCCTTGCGCGCTTCGCTCTTAGGTTTCCTGGAGCCACTCGAGGGACATCTGGACTTGGGAGAGATCCTCTTCCTGGCTTTCAAGTGCGGTCATGGTTGCGGCTTCTCTGTTGGCCAGGGTAACGCCACCAGCTCGCTCAGAACCCAGCAGAGGCGTCTTTTGAACACAGCTTGCTGCTGGGGTTGAGTTCAGTGTCTTAGTATTGAAGTGATAAGATGATGCACTAGAATTGTGACTATGTTTTTTTCTTTCGTTTTCTTGTTTAGAGTCGGTTATTCATTGCCCCGGGGTTTGGCGGGGGGGGGGGGGGGGTCACGAAATAAAAACTAAAGCATATCTCTGAATTAATTGGATTGACCTATATAAAGTGTGGGGTTTAAGCACAGTACACAGGCTTTTGTCCATTTTCTTGAATGAAGACTTCCCTGGCCCCATTCAATGTAATGACGTGCCACTATGGAGAACCCTGCAGTTTGGACTCCTTTTTTTCTGAAACAGCTCCCAGAAGAAGCCATAAGTTTTTGAATAAGCAAACCTCTCTTCCTCAGTGCACAGCATTTATCTTTTAAAAGCTGAGTTTGCAAAGTTAAATTCTAACTGGTGGATTTTTGTATGGAATTATTTTATACTAGTTGACCTTACCAACTAGAAACCTAACTACTAACACTAGTCCTGGAGAAGGTGATTATTCACTGTGATGCTGGCAGGAGGTAGCAATATGTGAACAAAACAGAAACTATTTATTTTTATTTTTATTTTTTATCGGTTTATTTTTCTTTTTAGTTTACCTCCTAAGATCTCTCAGTTCCAGCTGTCAGCATTTGCAGTCCTTGAAAGGTGGTAAACCTTGGCTACTGAAGACTTTATTTGGAGAGCCTCAGTTAAGCGTGACCACCCGGCATCTCGGTTCCAGGAATTCATTGCTTAGCTGAAGGACTCTATGGTCAGTGAAACTGCTCAGAGCAAGGCAGCCTTGTTTAGTCCCTGGACCCAGAAGGCTGCAGGCTGTGGTTATTCTGTGTCCTATTGGTGGACCCCCTCAAATGGCTTTCCAGAAGGGACCCAGCGATGGGAAGTCTCTGGTTTGTGTGGCATCCAGTGTGCTGTTGGAGTGGAGAGGAACACACACAGGAGGACAACAGGGAAGGTCACGCCAGGCCCAGACCTTGAGTAGAGAGTGAATTCTTGTAGGAAAGTGGCATTCCTGGAGGTTGACACCATGAGCAAAGATAAAATGCTTAAAATGAGACTAGTGAAGAGTTCAGCCAGGTTGCCCCCAGTGTGGGGAGGACTGGTCAGACAGGTGCCTGGGGAAAAAGCTCTCTGGTGATCAGCTCATTTTTACTCAAGGTTCTGATGTCTTCCTTTCTTTTCTTTTTTTTTTTTTAAGAAAAATGTAAGCAAACATAGAAGCACGGGGAATAGTATAATTTCCATATACCTGTCAAATAGATCACATGATTCTTCTTCTTCTTTTTTTTTTTTTTTTTGGTTGAAGCAACTTAAAGTGGTTTATCCCAGACAACATAACAGTTTCCCTCTAAATAGTTCCGTATCCACCTTCAAAAAATGGACATTTTCTTTGTTGTTGTTTTTGTTGTTCAAAGGATAGGAAAAAGAAAAGGGGACACTCTCAAGGGAGAAAGTGGGTTCTCAAGGAGGAGAGGGACAGTGTGCCTCTCCTGCACTCCAGTTTTATTGGGGAGCCCAGAGAAGTTTCCAGAGAGTTGTTCCTGAACAAAGTATACCTCTTGACTTTTTTAATTTTTATTTTTTTAATTTTTTTGTGTTTTCATACATGTACTTAGGGTAATGATGTTCATCTCATTCCACCATCGTTCCTACCCCCATGCCCCCTAGGGGCCCTTCCCCTCCCTCCCCTATGCCCTATCTAAAGTTCATCTGTTCCTCCCATGCCCCCCCCATCCCCATTATGAATCAGCCTTATATCAGAGAAGACATTCAGCATCTGGTTTTGTAGGATTGGCTTACTTCATTCAGCATTATTTTCTCTAACTCCATCCATTTACCTCTAAATGCCGTGATTTTATTCTCTTTTAATGCTGAGTAATATTCCAATGTGTATATATACCACATTTTCTTTATCCATTCATCTACTGAAGGGTATCTAGATTGGATCCACAATTTAGCTATTGTAAATTGTGCTGCTATAAACATTGATATGGCTGTGTCCCTGTAGTATGCTGTTTTAAAGTCCTTTGTGTATTAACCAAGGAAATGGATAGTTGAATCGAATGGTGGTTCCATTCCCAGTGTTCCAAGGAATCTCCATACTCCTTACAGATTGGTTGCACCAATTTGCAGGCCCACAAGCAATGTAAGAGTGTGCCCTTTTCCCCACATCCTCATCAATGCTTGTTGTTGTTTGTATTCTTAATAGCTGCTGTTCTGACTGGAGTGAGATGAAATCTTAGAGTAGTTTTGATTTGCATTTCTCTAATTTATAGAGATGTTGAATATTTTTTTTCATATATTTGTTGATTGTATATCATCTTCTGAGATGGCTCATTTATTGATTGGGTTGTGTGTTTTTTTTTTTTGTTGTTGTTGTTTGTTTGTTTTGGTGTTAAGTTTTTTGAGTGCTTTATATATCCTAGAGATTAGTACTCTATCTGATGTGCATGTGGTAAAAATGTGCTCCCATTCTGTAGGCCTTGTATTTACCTCACTGATTGCTTCTTTTGCTGAGAAGAAGCTTTTTAGTTTGAATCCATCCCATTTATTGAGTCTTGGTTTTAATTCTTGCACTACAGGAATCTTATTAAGGAAGTTTGGACCTAATCCAACATGATGGAGATTTGGGCCTACTTTTTCTTCTACTAGCTGCAGGGTCTCTGGTTTAGTTCCTAGGTCCTTGATCACTTTGAGTTGAGTTTCGTGCAAGGTGAGAGAGAGGGGTTTAATTTCATTTTGTTGCATATGGATTTCCAGTTTTCCTGGTACCATTTGTTGAAGAGGCTATCCTTTCTCCAATATATGTTTTTGGTGCCTTTGTCTAATATAAGATAACTGTATTTATGTAGGTTTGTCTCTGTGTCCTCTATTCTGTAACATTGGTTTACAATTCTATTTTGGTGCCAATACCACACTGTTTTTGTTACTATTGCTCTGTAGTATAGTTTAAGTTCTGGTGTCATGATGCCACCTGCTTCACTCTTTCTGCTAAGGATTGCTTTAGCTTTTCTGGGTCTCTTATTTTTCCAAATGAATTTCATGATTGCTTTTTCTATTTCTATGAGGAATGTCATTGGAATTTTGTTTGGAATTGCATAAAATCTGTATAATGCTTTTGGTAGTATAGTCATTTTGATAATATTAATTCTGCCTATCCAAGAGCAAGGTAGATCTTTCCATCTTCTAAGGTCTTCTTTAATTTCTTTCTTTAGTGTTCTATAGTTTTCACTATACAGGTCTTTTACTTATTTCATTAAGTTGATTCCCAAGATTTTTTTTTTTTTTGAGGCTATTGTAAATGGGATAATTTCATTGTTTCTCTTTCAGAATATTTGTCACTGATATACAGAAATGCCTTTGATTTATGGGTGTTGAAAAAAATGGACATTTTTCTTGTAAAACCATAATAACATTACCACCTAATGAAATTGACAATAATTCCTTAATGTTTTCTAAACCTAGTTCATAGAGAGATTTCCCTGATTGCCTCAAAAATGCTTTTTTTCTTTTTTTTGGTACTGGGGTTTGAACCTTGGGGCACTCAGCCACGGAGCAACATCCCTAGTTCTTTTTATTTTTTATTTTGAGACAGGCTGTCACTAAGAGAAATGTACTTTTTACTGTTGGTTTGTGTGAATCATAAGCCAAACAAGGGCCACATGTGGCATTTGTTGATTATCATTTTCATCTAGGGCAGGCAGTTGGCTAGATACTCTCAGCTTTGCAGGCCACGGGGTCTCTGTGTGACTTTCTGTCACGCAGTAGCCATAGCTGATATGTAAGTCAGTGAGTTGGCTGTGTTCAAATAACGTTGCATTTTCAGAGTTGTTTTGCTTTGTTTTAAACTCCCTGGTGGGTTAGACTTACCCATAGGCCATAGTTGGCTGACCCTGGTCTGGAGCAACCTATGGGTTTAATGCTAATGACTTGCTAATGACACTTGGTTTGTTGCCTGTAGAATGCTTTATTTTCTGGGTTTATGTGACTGCTCTTTGTACAGTATGATTTAACCTGCTCCTCTAGCCCCTGTATTCTTATGAATTGGAAGTTAAATCTAAAGGCTCAATCAGATTCATTGTTACCGTTTCCACCAAGACTACTTCAGAGTGGTTTTAATGTTTTTAAATATAAATTTATCTGACTTTAAAAGATTTAGAGACTCTCATCCTGAAAACTCAGCATTCTTTTTTTATTATTTATTTATTTATTTATTTAAGGTAGTTGTAGATGTACAGAATGCCTTTAATTTTTTTTTTTTTAAATGTGATGTTAAGGATCAAAGCCAGTGCTTCACACATGCTAGGCCAGCGCTCTGCCACGGAGCTTCGGCCCCAGCCCCAAAGCTTAAAATAAGCTTTGCCCGATGGCAGTGAATACGCTTTTTTCCTTCTCTCCTTACTTATTTGTCGGAGAGATTGTAGCTGTTATTTCTCAGGGAGGTTGAGAGTTTGAACCCTCCTCTAGGTCTGTGTGAACTCCCCTCTATTCCAGGCTTCCTTGGTGCCTTGGGCTGGAGGATCACGTATTCCTTCTGAATGGAGACTTTCCTTCCATGGACCAAGCCCAGGGTTTGAGATTGCCTTCCAAGAGGCATTGGGTTTTTTGTTTTAATCCCCTTGAACACTGCATTTTACTCACTTCTTATTTTACCTGACTCTCTCCAGCAGGACTGAGATCCAGAAACTTGGTGCACATGGACCTTTGGGTCTCTGCGTGAGGCAGGCGTGCTCTCCTGTATCCTGAGGAAGGATTCCAAAGCCGAAAACTTAAGACTCTCAGACTCTCTGTGCTCCTGGATTCCTGGGCCACACAGCTTTGAACAAACTTACAGGTGAGAATTATTTCCTCTTTTCTGGACTATTCGTAACTCCTAAATCCTAGAGGTGCTGAAGCAATATGCTGACAGAGAGTGCACACAGAGCCAGTTGGAATCCCTTGTCTTTTTGTTATTTAAGAAAAGTAGGGGGCTGGGGCTGGAGCTCAGTGGTAGAGCACTTGCCTAGCATGCGTGAGGCACTGGGTTCGATCCTCAGCACCATATAAAAATCAACAAATAAAATAAAGGCATTCTATCCATCTATAACTACAAAAAAATTAAAAAAAAAAAAAAAGAAAAAATAGGGGCCGGGGGTGGTGGCACCTATGTATAATCCCAGGGACTCAGGAGGCTGAGGCAGGAGGATCACAAATTTGAAGCCAGCCTCAGCAATTTAGTAAGTTCCTAATTAGCTTAGGAAGACCCTGTCTCAAAATAAAAAAGGAATGTATCTCAGTGATAGAGTGCCCCTGGGTTCAATCCCTAATACTATGGGAAAAAAAAAAAACAACAGAATAGTAGGAGCGACTGTGTTTATATTCCTTTACCAATTTTTGAATTGAGTTTTGATCTTATTGATTTATAAAAATTCTTTATATATTAATGATACTAATCTTTTGTCATATAGACTATAACTCTTTTCCCTCAATTGTTTTTGTATTTGCTTACAGTTTTTGTGCTCTTCAGAAAATTTTAATTTTGTGTAGTGAAAAATATCAGTCTCCATTTTTTGTTTTGTTTTGCTTGGAAAAGAACTGCCCATTTCAAGATTTTTTAAAATTCTTGTTAATACAGATAAATGAACATGTGATCAGAGCTGGTGTATTATTCGGCTTCACATTACTATAATAAAATACTTGAGGTAATTATTTTATAAAGTAAAAAGATTTATTTTTCCTCACTGTTTTGAAGGTCCAGTCCAAGATCAGACAGACCCACTGCTTTGGGCCTCTGGTGGCTGTGTCCGATAGCATGGCAGAGATCACATGGCAGAGCAGACCCTAACTTCATAAGCCAGGGAGTAAAGAGGAAAAGACCAGGGTCCTCTTCTAGGGCATGTGCCCAGTGAACTGAGGACATCCCATAAGGCTGCACTTCCTAGCAGTTCTACCACCTCCCAATGGCATCACCCTGGGGACCAAGCTTCTCACACGTGGAACTTTGGGGGTTGAATATTCAGCATCCCAACCCTACAGCAGAGAACATGTGACTCTGCAAAAGAAGACTCTCTAAGTGGGACGATTTCCACCAGATAATGTCCAAATACACAACCGTTGGCATTAAAATGAGGCCATTGCTGGTAAGGGTTGTGGTTTGGAGATGGGTAGTTGAGGAATCTTTAATTATGTCATTATACTAGTTTTGTATTAAACTTCTCATAATAAACAAGTTTTCTTTATAAAAGAAAGAATGGTAGGGGAGACCCCCTTCATCCCATTTGCTCATATTCCACAGCTATTTGTTAGGCAGTTCTGTGCTACCCTTGATGTCCCATGGTTCTATATGTAGGAGACCTGTAAAAACCAGTCAAAGTTCACAGGAATCCTATAAAATCGCTCCATTTCAGTTTTTATAGGTGTCTTACACCTAGGACCACGAGACATGGTGGTTTAGCATTGGGGTGCGGGGTTCATAAATGCTCATGGTCTTGAACTTAGAGGTTGTACATGGGAGGCAGATATTAATGGGGCAGTGGCTGATTAGGCAGCTACCTTGAGAGTATCTACCTGTCATTCTGCAGGGTGGAGAGTCCATAGCTTCCCATGGCAGTTCTTCTGTCTTAGTGACACTGCGATCATGTCACACTGAGCGGCAGGCCCTGTTGGCCTTGGCTGTTTCTCTTCATAACCATATTAGTGTCAGGTCTTCTATCACAAAGTACCCCACACCGGGAGGCTTAGAACAACAGAAATTTATTCCCTCCCTGTTCACAGAGATTCAAAATCTAAACCCAGGAGTGGGCAGGGCTGCCCTCCCTCCAGAAGCTCTGTGGGGAAATCCCTCCTGCCTCTGCTGGCCAGGGGCGGCTCCCAGTACCCCTTGCTCTTGCTCATGGCTGCCTCGTGCCGGTGTCTGTCCTTCATCACATGGCCCTCTCCCTTCCCATGAGACAACTGGCATTGGACTTCAGGCCCGTCCAGATGCTCCAGGGTAATCTCACCTGCAGTCCTTCACTTGCCCACAGGTGCAAGGTCCATTGGCCGGGCCAGGGAACATGTGGTTCTGAGGGTCAGGACCTGGACCTTTTGGGGAGCCTTTACTCTCTGCTTCACTCTGCAGTACAGCAGCCACCACTGGGTCAGAGCAGCTCCCCAGACACATTAACACTAGCTTCCCCTGTCCTCGAGGAGTGTCCCCACGTCTGCTCTCCCTCCAGGTGCTGGTGTGCTGAAGCCCTGCAGGCCCCTCAGGCCTCAGCGTTGGTAGGAGGGCATCTTAGTCCATTTTGTGCTGTTGTAACCTGAGGCCGGGTAACTTGTAAAGAGTAGAGATTTATTTCTCTCAGTTCTGGAGACTGGAAGTCCAAGACTGGAGGGGTAGGGGCTGCGTCTGCAGGGCCTTCATGCTGGCCGTCCCACGGTGGAAGGACAGGAGGGTAAGAGCACCAGAAGGAGAGAAGGGGCGTGCACTGCTCATCTTCTCGGGAGCAGAGCACTCTGCTGGTGTGTCTGCTGCTGCAGCTCTTTTACCTGTTTAAGGGTGTGATCATGTCCCTCAGGGGATGGGTGAATTTTGCATGTTAAAACCCAGGGCTGCGGGACTGGGAACTCTGATTTAATAAGCCTGTGCCTTCCTCATTTCATCATTTTAGGAAATAATCACAGCTGCCTGCTTCGAAGACTCTTTCTCCCTTGATTTTGGTTTCTGTGAAGTTAGGTAGCGTTGATGAAGCCTGATACAAACTCACTAGTGGGAGTCAGACCACCTGATAAATGAATAGAGAACTGTTTGACCATATTCCCAGGAGTAGTTGAAAAGACCAGGTCACTGTCAGTGTGACAGTTAAGTGAGGAGTCACGACCAGCAAGCTCTTAGAGCAGAAGCCAGATTTGCAGGTAAGCCAGGTGTGCAGGTCCCTGGGCCTAAGTCAGGTGTGACACACTCTGGATCTGCTGACTGCAAGAACCTTCCAGAAGCTCAGTTACATACTGCTTCTTACCAGCTTCTCTAGTCTCCATTGTCACTTTCCATCTGTGCTGACTAGCAAATTGAACACACATTTCAAATTCCATTGGCCCAGGTTGAACATCTCTAACCCAGAAATCAGAAATGTTCCAAAACCTGAAAATTTTTGAGTGATAAAGTTTCGGATTTCAGAGCATTTTGGATTTCAGATTTACAGATCAGGAATGCTCACCCCATGCAAATTTCCCCAAATCTGAAAAACCGTGAAATCTGAGACACTTCTGGACCTGTGGGTTCCAGATAAGGGATATGCAACCTGCAGTGGTGGCATAAGCGAGTGTTTTCTCATGTAACTTCTGAAGAATGTCTGTAACAAAGTCACCCGTGACAAACTGGTGTCTAGAGTAGTTTACCACTGGAATTGCTTGGGATTAGAATCCCCAGTAGAAAAGAGCAGGTTTTTGGGCTGGGGATGTGGCTCAAGCGGTAGCGCGCTTACCTGGCATGCGTGCGGCCCGGGTTCGATCCTCAGCACCACATACAAACAAAGATGTTGTGTCTGCCGAAAACTAAAAAATAAATATTAAAAAATTCTCTCTCTCTTAAAAAAAAAAAAAAAAGAGCAGGTTTTATGTTCAAAAATTTCTCTGTGGCCTCGTAAGTTCCAGTATCTCTTTACCAGTGAATAGTTTTCAAGGTCAACTTTGTGATCCAGGTTCCCTTAGAAAACAGCTATTTCCTCTTCCAGTCTTTCTGATACTTTAGTTGTGCCCATGTAAATGATGAACCCCTGATGAAGAAAGACCAGGGAAATATCATTCCTGTCTTTCATGCTTAACAATGAGGTTGCTCCTGCAGAGACTCCTCCAGGTAGGGGACTCTCCTCCTCCTCCTTCTCCTCCTCTTCCTTCTCCTCCTTCTTCTTCCTCCTCACCCCCACCCCTCTCTATGTCTTTTATTAAGATCATTGCCCAGACCTTACAAGTGGAGTGTAAAACTTCTCCTGCACCAGCCACGAGCATCAGGGACCACCCCAGCTCAGTTTTACTGTTAGCTTCTGGAGAATCTTGAAGCAAATCCTATAAATCACGTCATTTCATCCCCAAATGTTGCAGTAGGAATTTTGTTTAAAAGATTCTTTTCTTACATAACTAAAATCCTAATTATTGAGCAAAAACTCCATAATATCTAATACTATATTTTGTAGTTCCTTGATTTTGTAAGAGCAAAGTCTGTGCGGCAGCGCGTTCTGGTTGGAGTTGGTGAGAGCCATTCCTCATACTCACTTCTACACCTCATGAACCTTTTAATAGTAAATGTGTGTCAAGCACTGATTCAATTCAATTCTGAGTGCTCTTATTCTACCTTTTACTTAATTTCAAAGTAGTTGTGTGAATAATATGTGAATATATTATTTAAATGTATATATATGGTGAAATCGACTTTTTTTGTGCAGTTCTGAGGTTTTAAAATGTGGTGGTTCTTGTAACCATCATCACAATCCAGCTCCCCAGAGCACTTCCATCACCAGAACATCCAGAAGACTCCCTCCTGCTGCCCTTCCTAGTCAGGCCTCCCTGGTGACCAGTCATCTCTTCCCCATCCTTAGAAGTTCTGCCTTCTCCCAAATGTCATGAAAATGGAATTTGCAGCATAGAACCTCTGAGACTGGCTTCTGTCACTGAGACAGTGCCTTTGCCCCTCATCCGTGCACTCATCCTTTTTTGATGTCGTGGTCTGGATGTCCAAAGTATGTCCATCCACTGTGGGAGGGCGTCTGGATTATTTCAGCCTCTGGTGATTATGAAGAGAGCTGCTGTAAACGTATGTATGTAGGGTTTTGTTTGAAGAAAACTTCATCTCTCTAGAGTGAATCCCTAGGAGCACAA